AGATAGATAGATAGATAGATAGATAGATAGATAGATAGACAGACAGATAAAACGATAGATGGATAGATGGATAGAAAGAGAGAGACGGAAGAGAAAAACTCGGAGGAAAGGGTTGGAGGGTGTTTCAAGTTTATTCTACTTCTAACATTTTGGGAAACAAACAAGGAACAAGTAAAGCACACATTTATCTTTCCCGTGTCCGAAAATTGACAAATCAGATCAGATAAAAATCGGGAACATATAAAGGGGTAAAAGTCACATTAATTACATCACGGCGTAGCCATGACTTTTAAAAACATCTTTATGGTTGACATGACATTTGACTAATTTGATTCTCTGTTGTAAAAATTCAGTTTGTGAATCACTTAGTTGGTCTTTCATTTCATGTATATCGTATGGGGTATTCTATAGGTACTGCTGTAAGTTAAGGGCTAGTATCCCGAATTTTGTATACTCCAAACTGACTTATCCTTATTTCACTTGGCCTCTTCATGTGTGTGAAAGATGATAAATTACCAGGGTCTGGATGTCAATATCTTCTGTAGTCTCGGGTGCTGACTTAAAACTTTAGCAGGTACTTCTTGACATCGGTGGCCTGGTAGCTTGGTTGTTTGCCTCGCTACCGAAAGGTAGTGTGTTTGAACCCCGTCTGGGGGCCCGAGATTGTGTCCTGGGGAAGGGCCTTTTAAACGAACGAGTACCCAGCTATTGACGGCGAAAGATCTTGTCAGGTTTTTAAAAAATATTTGTTTGAGCGCTTAATCAGCTGTTTACAGTGTATGCTTTCTTGGAAGCCACGAATATTTGTGTGGGTTCTAGGATCTTCTGAGGTAATTCAATACGTGTAGATTGCTAAGTTCATGAAAGAGCTTGCTTTTGAGTGGGAATATGTGCATTACAAATTTCAACGATATTTATTATGATTATTATGATTATGATAATGATGATAATGATGATGATGATGGTGATGATGATGATGATGATGATGATGATGATGATGATGATGATGATGATGATG